GGGGGAATGCCGCATCTCTATTAATTAATGTTGGAGCTGTGAACACCAATTGAAGCATCGAAATGGTATTTATGTAATATGACCTACTTTTTTAGCCCTACCTGTTAAAAAATCTCTAGTATATTTTTATCACGTAACCAAGCTCGCCGTTAACCCCTTCAACGCCGTATTGACGTACCTGGTCCGTCATGGAATCGCACAATTTTTCTGCATCTTGATGAACCAGGGAATACAAAACACATCTAATGAAGAAAAAGGTTTTAAGGAAATTCCGTGGGAGAAACGAGGTTTGTGTCCAGTTGGTTTTGGCTCGTAGGATTCTAATACAACCGGATCGAATGCTTGCTCCAAATTTATTTCAGCCAGGTTGAACAGGAAAGGGCAAAAAATTGGGAACTCACTATTGACTCCTGCCAGCTTGAGTAAAGATTCACCGTAGCCTTAGATTTTTAACCCTTACAGCCCCAGTAGTGTATATTATTTCCCTCACGAGTTCTTGTTCTCCTTCTCCCACGCCCAGTTGCGTATATTTCTCTCAAAAGTTTCCGACCACCTCCGACACAGCTGAGTATTTTTACTGTAAGCTGTCCAATTGTCCTGCAAAAAATTACAAACACACAATGGCTATTGGCTGGGCCTGAGGATTCAAAGACTCCAGTATTTCTTGGGACCGATGGAAGTGGGAAATAACCTGTTGCGCTAAAGGATAAGAAAAGATGCAAAGTGTTATTCTGGAAGGTGAATTTTTTTTCAGTATTTTTGAAGGTGGATGGTGATAGCTCATGATCTGTCCCTCACAAAATATTATTATTGTAGATTTAGATAAAAATAGTGTTAACATTATCATTTATGGGGTTTTTTTTTTTTCAGCTGTCTCTGCACTTGGAAGAGACTTCTTAGTTCAGCAACGGAAGGCCAGCATTTTTAAATGTTATTTCGTGAAAGCTGACTTTTGTGGCATTTCCAAGCACTCCACAAGGTGTGTTACAATTTTATATTTTGGACTAGAGGATATCTTTGGTGTTTCTAAACATGCAACACTGAATTTCCCAATACAGCATTGTCACACATCTTTCCATTAAAGTATAAATGGTGTTGCCAAATCATTTGGCGCGAGCTTTCGTGGTCTGGAGGTTAAGGTGTTCACCTCTCATTCAATAGGTTGCGGGTTCGAATCCGGATAGCGACGGAACATTTTCTTCTCTAAAATGTTCTCCTTTCACATTCTTTTCTGCTCTCTAACAATGTTCTGTCGTTTGCTTTCGTCTCCACTTTCTGCCCCACCACCTCCTTTGCGCCCTCCTCTGGGCTCCTGACTCTTTCTGCAGCCTTTGTACTGCTACTCCGTGGCCCCTTCTTTCAGCCACACCCCTGGTCTTATGGTAGGTAAGATCTACACCTAGCCTTTTCGGAAAAGGGCAAGTTGCGCACGTTAGAGATCCCTTGGCGGTCCAAAATCGATAAGAGTAGGCTTTGACTGCCACCCGGGCAACATTAAAAAAATCCTATCAACTGAAAATGTTTAATGTGTCCTTCACGCTCATATGACCTAATGTAGTTGCGAGCACCGTCAAATACTTACCAAAAAAAATCCTTTGGCTTTCGTGAAAAAAATACCTTGGGGGGTAATCACATATGCAAATGAGCCCCTCACACTTTTACTTTGGTCAGCTTGGGAGCTATCAATGACCCCTGGCCTTCCGGGCTGCAGAGGTAATTACCCTTGACTGAATGAGATGGTATCAGTGATGTCATGCATAGACAGCCTTGAGTGGGTGCATTAATATGTTACGTTTCACTCCATTATCTCTCATTTCCTTGCAAGATCAGCTTTATTTTATCACTTCCACTCCCCTGTATTTTTACCATTTGGTTGCTGCACTTCCTACATGCTGTAGCATACTGTGTTTGGTTTTAGAGACTTTCAGAGTAATTTGGAATTTCTACAGTGAGTGGATCAGGGTGCAGAGGTTCATACTAATGGAGGTGACAGTGAACGCTAAAGGTTCCAAAGGGAGTCAGATAAGGTTGTGTAATTTTACAAACTTTTTGAAGAATTTTAAACCTTGAGGCGTAGTTTAAATAAGAAAGTGAATTTGAAAGCTCAGTGTGTGTGTGTGTGTGTGTGTGTGTGTGTATATGGTGTGTGTGTGTGTGTGTGTGTATATGGTGTGTGTGTGTGTGTGTGTGTGTGTGTGTGTGTGTGTGTGTGTGTGTGTGTGTGTGTGTGTGTGAGTGTGTGTGAGAGAGAGAGAGAGTTGAACTGAACTGAAGTTCATTAAATTTATTTGTATGGTTACAAACCCTTTGCACAAAAATGTTATATACATATAAAACACATGTACTAACAATGTGTGGTATGAAGCTTATTAATTCTTAAAACACAGCTCTCGCCGCTTCTCATTATTCTTTCTGTCTAAAAAACACAGTATAAAGGAATTTATCAACTGTTTTAGAATAGGCACCATGCCATAGTATAATTATATCTATGTATATATACACAAAGTGTTAACTTTTCATTTTCATAAATATTTAAAAGAATAGGTATACTTTATCTGTAAATTCTCATAAACGGGACAATTATTAACAGGATTTGAAATCTGTCCTCGATAGCAGCGTCTCAAAATAGACAAATGTAAACAATTACTTGTTGCTGTGTGAGAGAGAAAAAGATGTTTAGTGAATGTAGATTGTGATGCGCTTAGAGCTTGCTGTTGAGCAGGAATTTGCACAATACAAATGCTTTCTTTTATTTTAATTATAATTATTATTCAGCTGGATTATGATAGCCTTCCTCTCTCTTTTTTGTGCTGTATGACAGCTGTGTAGAACCGTAGAGTGAGTCTGTAATCGTAATCGGGCCATACACCTCTATTCATGAATACAGTATTTGTTTCTTTGTTGTAGAATCAACTGCAGCTTCATTACCATAGATGTATATCTATCTAATGGGTTGTTTCTATTGGGATTCGACATCTCACAGAGATAGACAATGATGATAATGATAATGATATGCTGTGGGATTCAGGTCACCTTGATCTTGTTTTTGGAATGTAACCGTAGTAGAGGTGAAAAAGACAAAGCTTTATTCAGACCTACATGTACTGAGGTTTATAAAAAGAGCGCTACACCTTCTAAGACCTTTAGTTTAGATTCTGCTTTGGGATCTAATTTTCTGTTTGTGTGGAGGTCTTTGATTTTCACAAGTGAGATTTTTACATTTCTGTCAGGCCAACAGTGGTAAGAGCTGTCATGGAGAGATATTGGGTTAAATTTGGTAGCTTTGTCAAGTGGGTTTGGAATTTTTTCCTTTGTTGTGATTGGTCATTCTGTATTCTGGCTTCTATTGAAGTGGGTTTGACAAATTGTGTCTTTGTCTATTTTGTATTAGCTCAAGAACGGTGATTTGATGTGTCCAGATACAATGTGAAATACTGGCACATTGCTGTCTTGCTTTAAAGTAAATATTTATAAGGCATGCTGATAAAAGGAGTTACTGCTCCAGGAATGGGGATATCTGCCGAAAATTAACGCTGGGGTCAGGTTTGTAGATTGTCAACTGATACCAGTTTTTTCAGGTTTATCATTTCTTTCACCATTACATACTAATAGATTGTACAAACTGAACCAACAAATTTGATGTATTTATTTCCGTAGAGCAAAAATGGGAGAAGTAACTCTTTTTGTCAAAACCCCACCCATTTATGAGGTAAAGATGGTAAGTAAACCTTTTTAAAGAAACTAGGAAAAAAATAAAAGTTTCAACCCCGGTTTTTGTGGGTTTTGGAATGCTTAGAATAACTTTTGGGATTTTCACTGATTTTGAGGTACCATAGAACAGTTATTATAGTGAAGTGGGACTTTTATACAGCTGTCCACTCGTGTGATTTCTGACAGTGAGATGGTAATTTAGACAAGTTTATACTGGTCATTTTTTTTTTTATTTCAGAAAGGTAATGGCAACTTCAAACGGTAAAAGAGCAGCAGAGGAAATAGAAGAAAAATTTGTGAAAGTTGGTGAAGTGGAAACGTCTCTTCTCACATTGGGGCACTTTAGAGATGCATCCAGCTCAGAGGATGCCAAGCGAGTGCTTTTCCTAATCATTCCAGGTACTGTCTGTCTGTGTGTCTGTCTGTGTGTGTGTGTCTGTCTGTCTGTTTGTCTGTGTGTGTGTGTGTGTGTGTGTGTGTGTGTGTGTGTGTGTGTGTGTGTGTCTGTCTGTTGTCTGTCTATGTGTGTGTGTGTTTCTGTCTATCTGTCTCTCTGTCTGTCTTGTCTGTCTGTCTGTCTGTCTGTCTGTCTGTCTGTCTGTCTGTCTGTCTGTGTAGACGGCCAGACTAAAATTTGCATTGACATTGTTTTATTATTCTGGTCAACTTTCGCATTATTATAATTACTAGTCTGTCGCAGGTTTTTTTGTTTTTTATTTGGAAAGTGTAACATTTATAACTCAAATAAGCCATGGAGATTGGTACTGACAAGATCAGCAATTAGTCTACTGCTGTCTAGTGATAAACTGCACGCACTCGTGCCCTTAACTGTTGCCTCCCACTTTTCAATTTACACTGTGTGTAAGATAAGAAACATCTTTATTGTCCAGATCCTGGCCCTTTGGTTTGGTGTTTCACCATGTGCACACACACACACACTTACACACACACACACACACACACACACACACACACACACACACACGCACTCACACACACACACATGCACGCACGCACGCACACACTCTCACACTCACAGGCACAAAAATACACACACACTCAGGCTTACATTCACATGCATAATATAAATGAGCAGCAATATAAACAATAATAATCTTAAGCTAGATACATAATCAATGTTATTCTGATGCATGCTCTAAGGTCGTATGAATACTTATACAAGATGGTTAAGATGGAAAAATAATATGTATACTTGAGGACTAATTTTTTTGTTTTGTCTTTACGTCAGAAAGACACAGCTTTGCTTTCCAAAGATTGAAAATTCTTTTAGATATTACAAACAGTTTGAAGAGTAAGTGAGATAAGGAGGGAGGATTGGAGAACTGTGCCTAGGGGGCATGCAGCTGTCTTCAAAACTTGTTAATTTTTTTTCCTTCTGTTTAATAGCTGCTTTACTGTGAAAAGAGTTTCTTTCTGACAGGCTACTGACTGTGGGTGGATGCTGGGTGCTGTGGTGGGATATGCTCCTTCTCTCCTGTCAAACATCTATTCTATTGTCCTTATCTCTCTTCTTTTTTTTCTGTGTATGTTACTCACAAGTAACTTTTCTAGTTTTTGGGACTCAAATGACTAATTTGTGTTGCAAGTGCTGTTGGTTGTAAAAAGCTCTTTCTAAATCTGAGGTAAAACTTCATGTTAACTCAATCTTAGGCAACCCAGGGGTACCCACGTACTATGAGGATTTCATGCAAGAGCTGTACAGCCATTGTGAAGGGCAGATACCTGTGTGGACTGTCGGGCAAGCAGGACATGTGCAGCCTCCTGATCAGTCTCTTTCATTCTCCGATGTGTGTAAGTAATGGCACTGGGAGTCGACTTTGTTTTTATATCTTTTCGCGACCTCAGTGCTTTCTTGTCCTGTCTCCTTTTTTTAAAACATTGTGACTTTTTCTTAAGCTCACTCTTTTGTTATAATCTGTTTTCACTGTTATTAAAAATGGAGATAGAACCAGAAACCACTGAGGTCGTGTTTTGTTGAAGGGCACTGGCGTGAATCTGTGAATCTGTGGCAGACACCCTCGGAACTCAGGGGATGTCCCTCCTACAGGCCATTCGCCTTGCTGCAGACAGAAGCCGGTCTCCCCACGACACCCACCGGTACAAGAGGAAGAAAAAAAGTTTTAAAAAAATAAAGTAAAGTAAGTTGAAGGGCTGTAGCCACAATGATAATATACCGGTGTCTGTGGTGTAGCGATTAAGTGCTTCACCGTTGCACGCAAGAGACCCGAGTTTAATTCCTGAATGGGAAGAATTTTTATCAAATATCTCTGTCTTTCTGGTGGGATTTTGTATCCCTCTCAGCCTGGGTTGGCTCTAAGAGGCAGGATTTGAAGTCTGCCTCCTAAATGACTTAGATTGTGTTGATACGGGCATAAAAATACCCACACTTACAGTAATAATACGCATAGCATGCTGGTTTCTTTTTTTAAAAAATCACTCCACAAGTTGCAGAGCTGTCATCCTTCTGTTAAATAGAAGACTGTGTATGTCTGCTTCACTTTTCATGTTTTATTCCCATATTTGTGGTGAGATATGGCTGATGACCTCTGAAGAAAGTGTTCCTTTTCAATAACATCTTGCACAGTATGTATTCTTGAATGAAATGTTTTTTGTGTAGAGTTGTGTCTATTTTAAAACTTGGACACTATAAAAACTCTGACCGATTGATTTTGTTCTGTTACAATGGCACTGGACACATATTGAGGGTGACCTGGCTTTGGATCATCTTCAGGGCATTTTTAAAGCTATTCTGTTTGAAGAGTTTAGGCACTGCAATTCCACCACATCTTAATATAACGCATTAGAAATTGTTTGACTCGAGTTACTGGAATGATTTTACTGCACTGAAGAGAAGAGATTTTTAAACAAAATTTTTCACTGGGCCAGTGTATCTTTGCACTTACAGCAAAGGAAACACAGGTCTTACTAGAAGTTAGCTGATCAGGGAGTCTACATTGCCTTATAGAATGACAAAATTTATATATTGCACACAGGGCTAGGTTACGTATGTTTGATATCTATTGTTCAAGGTGAACTGCAGCATAGTTGACCTTCATCAAGGTCGCATCACTCTTCTTCAGCTACCAGTTTGTCCCTCAGTAGGAGTAAGGGTCATATTTCTGAAGTCAGATGATCCTTTTTCTAGTGGTAATGAATGATATGTTATATAGAAATGCTTGCAAACGCAGAGCAGGTGTAGTACTTCGATAAATGTGCTTGTAAACAGTTTGTGTGATTTAAATAGTTTAATTTTCGAAGTGACTATTGTTTCACCTGTTCTCATTTCTTTCGTGGGTGGTTGATGGGTGCTCTGGGGTGGTTTGCTCCTTCTTTCCTATCAAACATCTATCATCCTTATCTCTCTTTTTTTTAAAAATGTTTCTTTCTGGTAACACCTCTAACCTGTGGCACTTTTATGACCTAATTTTGTTGCAAGTGCCATAAAGCTCTTATTAAAACTTTAAAAAATCATTGCTTTTCCCCCCAGTTTCTACAAGAGATGACATATACAGCCTGAAAGCTCAAATTGAACACAAGGTGACCTTCATCCGAGAAAACATTCCTCCAGATGTTTCTCTTATCCTCATCGGCCATTCCATCGGGTGCTACATGATCCTCAACATGTTGGAACATTTACCCAGCAGCCAGGTCCTCCGCTGCTTCATGCTGTTTCCCACAGTAGAACGCATGGCCACCTCACCCCAGGGGCAGGCCATGACCCCGGTCTTACGCTACTTACGATGGTTCCTTGTCGCTGCTGCTCTGTTTGTCGTTATGATTCCTATGAGCATCCGCCGCCCCTTGATTGAATGGCACTTCCGGAGAGCGGATTGCCCTCCGTGTCTGTACGACGGAGTTGTGAGGACGTTGACGCCGTGGACGGCAAACTTTGCCTCATATCTCGCTAAGGTGGAAATGAACGAAGTAACAGAACTTCAGGAACATCTGATCAAGAAACATCTGAAAAAGCTGAGTTTTTATTACGGAACGCGTGACCACTGGGCACCTGTGCAGTATTTCTACGACCTCAAGACGACGTTTCCTGATGTGGACGCCAGGCTGTGCTCGCTGAACTTGAAGCACGCCTTTGTTCTGGAGACCCCCGAGGGGAAAGCCATGGCCAAGATTGTGTGGCTGTGGGCTCAGTCTCATCACCACACGGTGCTCTCACACACGGGCAGCGTGGATCAGGAGACGTGGGCCTTTGACGGTTGATGAAGGCCTTGTTTTTACTACAGGTGTTGAGGCTAGTCTTAGATTTTTAATATGTGCGGAAAAATTTCTACATAAAATGTGAACTTGAAGAAACTTGACATTTTGTTGTGTTTATTTTAACCTTTTCAAGAGAAACTGGAACCAAAAAATTGTCGGTGGGATGGGGGTTATTATTTAAGTAAAAGAAATTTTTCATGGCCAGTTTATTAGAGCTTTATTCTGCTGTAGAATTTGAGTCTTCAATTTATAAGAAATTGTGAAGAGCTTTCTGTGTGTCAATTTGCAAGAAATTTATTGCATTTAGAATTGTTTGTTGAAAGCGTCTGTATGCATCGAGATATATATTTTGACTGGTAAGAATGACATAGAGCGATCAGATTATCAGGTGATCGTTATATTCCAAATGCTTACGAGATGCCGGTTGTGTCCTTTGAACTTGACCTCTTTTCAGCATGCACTGTGTGCCTTTGCTACCATCTTGAAGCGAGTCAAGCTTCTGGCAAATACAGTCCGGCATGGACTACTCAAACATGTCAGGGATTGATGAATATGTATTTGACATGTCCATGGTGTGGGTAAACGCTTATTGTGAAAAATTGAAGTGATAGCAGTCGGGGAATGACAAATTGTAAAAGCTATTGGTGGTTTTGAGTTTTCCGTGTTCGTGTTATTTGTGCCTGACTGTATGTATGCTTTTCCCACCAGTTTGTGAAGCCTGAAGCCTCAACAATCACTGGTCAAATGTTAATTTATTGATGATATGATGATTTCACCCGTGACAGACAAAGTGGCAAGAGGATTTTAGTCTCTTGCTGCATAATGATTGAAAATGATAGGTTCACACTAAATAAATACACAGATGTGTTATTGTCTTCATGAAAATATCCTTGTTCTGTGATAGCTGTCCCATGTACTTTTTTATTTATTTTTTTCCAGAAAATAAGAACAGTGGTTTTAATACTAAAATAGATTTTTGTGTCTATTTACTTGCTGTCTCACTGTTTGTGAGTGTTATTTTAGTTACAAATATATCAGCATCCATGTTGAGTAATATAATATAAGGAAAACGTTTGGAGCAGAGTAGAAGAAAATCGCGTAGACAAGTACTTTGGGATAAGTCTGGGCTAGTTGAAATAACTGGCATTGGAAAGAAATGGAAAAAGGTCCACCTTATACTCCCTCTTACTTGTACTTGTGTGAAAGGAAATGACATAATGTGTGGTTCAAGAGACAAAAGGTTATATTTGCTGATGAGTTATGAATTACATCATTCTTTTTTTAGGAGTAAGTTTGAGGAAATTTTATGGCACTTGCAACACAAATAGGTCATATAACTGTAGAAGATTTGAGGTGTTACTAGAGAGAAACATACAAAGAAAAGTAGGAGGAGCCTTTGCTGAAGAGAACTTTAAATAATGTGCAGTGAAACTCACTTTTGTAATGAAGTCATCAGGTCTGTCCTCCAAGTTTGTTGAATCTGAGTGCTTACATTTTCTACTTGTTCATCAGTAAATGGACATCTCAGTCTTTAGTGGGGGGCTGTCGTGGTCTAGAGGTCAAGGTGTTTACCTCTCATTCAATAGGTCCCGAGTCCAAATCCAGATAGCGACAGAAAACTTTTCTGCTCTAAAATTTTCTCTTTTCACATCTTTTCCTGCTCTCTAACAATGTTCTGTCATTGCTTTCATCTCCACTTTCTGCCCCCAACCCTTCACCTCCTTTGCCCCCCTCTGGGCTCTTGACTTTCTCTGCAGCCTTTCTACTGCTACTCTTTGTCCTTGGCTTCTTCTTACTGCTGTCTTTTAGCTACACCCCTGATCTTATGGTAGATAAGATCGAGCACCTAGCCTTCTCGGATAAGGGTGAAAAATTTCGGAGGTCTCATGTGCAAGTTGCGCACGTTAAAGATCCCTCGGTGGTCCAAATTCGATAAGAGTAGGCTTCAGCCGCCACACAGGCAAAATTCAAAATTTCCTACCAACTGAAAATGTTGTTTCCAATGTGCTCATATGACCGTATGCAGTTGCGAGTGCTGTTAAACATTTACAAAAAAAAAAGTCTAGTTTGAAGGCTGCTGTATGTCGCAGGTCCTCGAGGCTCCCGCAGAGTTTTGGGTCTTCCTGCCAAGGGTTTATGCACTGCCATGTTCAGCACAAAATCTGCTCTCTTCCCCCCTTTTGTTGAGGAATTTGGCTCCAAACGATAGACATTTTCATATATTTCCTGCTATATTGAATGAGTCCCAGAGAAAGGCTAGACTAGTTGCTACCTCAGAATTACAAAGTTCTATCGGCTCAGTACCTAGTTTTGAGAAATTTGACGTCAAAATGTTTGAGCTTCACATGTCAAAATTTTTCGAAAGCAACTCTTTAAATATCTTGATAACAACTCCAAGAAAGTCTTATCAAGATAAAGCGGATAGAGCATTTGATTTCTGACCTCATGGTCTTAGTAACTCAAAACAGCCAAAAATGTCAGATAGAACTTTGTAATTCTAAGGTAGCGTGGTGTTGAAAAATTTACAGTGGTGCTCTAGTATACAATGGATGGCCGAAATGTACACTGTGTGAATGCAAATTTCACCCAAACACACGTCAGTGTCATATATCTGAAAGTTTGTGGCAATTTGCGCAATAATACACTGTGGTACAAGTTTTGACTAGAAAGTCTTGTGCGTGTGCCCTTAGTACATGCTGGTGTGAAAGAAGGCCTCTGATTGGTTAATGAGATGGATTGGTCAGTTGAAGCAAAGATTCTCCAAAACCGTTAAAGTGTACAGTGTATGATACACATTTAGTGTGTAACCACAAATCAAGAGTGAGAAGTTAGTCCCTTGGAATACTATAGAGTAACAGTAGATAAGGTTTGCTGTGGGAGCAAAATTCGTGAAGCCACATTAGTGAGGACTGTTTGTTCTACAAATGACTTTGATGGTTCCGAGTTTGCTAGTTTGCTTTGGTTGAATACAAGGTTTTTTGGTTTTAATGAATTTTAATAAAAACGGGGAATCCTTCTTTTTTCAACGTGTCTGAGCTCATTGAATGAGTTTCTTTGTAATTTACTGTAATTAATTTCTAAAGAAAATTATGTCTTTATGGAAAGATGTGAAACTAATAGAGTGATTTTATGGTTAAATAGATTCATTATTGTGTCCTTTTCGTATGATTCATAGCTGCCAACTTTTCAGAAGCAAAAAAAAACAGACTACCAGCAAGGCAGGTCAAGGTGGTGGGCATTTACCAAGTAACCCCACTCCAAGCTCTTCACACACACTTCTTTGCTTTCAAATATTCATTAATGCTCAGTAGTTAGCTATGGTAGGGCACACAGTTACAAAAGATATAGATCTATGGGCTCTCCTTATTTTTCGTAAATCCAATTTTTGAAAGTTCATAACTTTCCTTAAGCATGACAAGTCTGTGAGGAGTAATGCTAGAAAACAGAATATTTTCTGACATGAACTATGAACACAGACTTACCCACTCAGACCCTCAATAAACATAACGCATTATTTATATATAGCTTGGCAGCTCTCTGATCTTATGAAAAATCCCCTGTGTTTGTTCAGTGAGGGCACTGAAGTGTGCATGGTACTCACAGTAAAAAGACAAGTCAAAATACAATTTTAGATCAGTTTTTCTTTATTCTTTGTCATAAAAAGTGTCAACAGTAAGAAGAATATATATATATATATATATATATAGACATACAAATAATATCTGTTAGTTTAATGTCATAACAAACCTAAATGCCACTTGAAGCATAGTGTTGCCTACAAAGCTTCAGCACATGTCAAAAGAAAAATCATAAAATAGATAAATTAAAGTAGTTTTAGCAGATGAAAAAGACAAGTCGAAGTCTGGTAGATCTATCTGATTAGTAAGTGTGTTTTACATTCTTTTCAGTATAATTTAAGTAAGTCATTTAAGAGGCAGGACCTCCAACATAATGCCCATCTCTGATAGCATTGAGTGGGAAGTCGAAACCATTGAAAAACTTATGAAAGAGGTCAAGAACTGGATTTGAATCCGAGTCCAAGGAGGTTATATTTAGTACTAGAGTTCATGACAGTGAAGTCCCCCACGTAAAGGAATGGGACGCTGAACCTCAAGAGCAAGACATGCACAGTTCAATAGACGGGCGAGTACTTTTAGAGAATCACGTGGAGGCATCTCGGTGCTCTTAGGAGGAAATATACAAGCTAACACTGAAATAAGGGGGCAGGGTGGTGTACAATAACCCTTGAGCTCGTGGGGAGCGGTGTGGGGGCTCAGATTAGATAGTTCATATAAATAGGGGCACACTGGCCATGACAATGAGGGCACGAAGGCCCCAAAGTCTAACACGTATGACATCATTGCTGCAGGTTCTAGCATTATTATGTAACCTCTTTGAACCGAGTCGCATCTGTCTAAGTCCAGTGTCTCACAAATTGTATTAAACACAACATGCTTTTCGGCAATTTTTGTTCACAGGGCAATGAACTCTCAGCATTGGTAAAACGTTGTTTTATGTGAAATTTAGATTCCAAAAGTCACTTCAGATCATACGATAAAAGAAATTAAATATGAAAGCTACATTTTCACTCTTACTCTTAAAAAATAGGTCATTTCTGACAAGGAGAGGATATCAAAATTAAATACCGGTACACAAGACATTGGGTCAAGTCTCAGATCAATAGAATCAACAGATATAACATTTTCAGTGAATCTACACATGTAAACAGACTCTCCTTTCACAACCTCAAAATCTAACTCACTTTCTCCACCTTTCAAATTTTTATCGTGTTTATTTCTTCTGCTTTCTCTTCACAAATAACAAAACAGAGGTTAAAGTTAAAGCAAGAATGATTTTCATGCTTATTGAGAAGAAAAAAATCCTTTTCAAATATCTTGAGATGAAACAAAACGTAGAAAAACTGAAATACATGTTATAATATTATTAAATACACAGGGCTCTTCTGCTTATTTATTTTTTCTCATGAAAGTCTCAAAGAATATTCTGAAATAATAAGTCAGTTTGATAAGGAATAATAAATGTATAAAAATAAGCCAAAAATCAATATATATGGAAAAGCTTGCTATTGCCCCATGTAATGTATATATAATATATCGCCATGGTTGCAAAACAGTTATAATTATAAGTATCCGTTCTACATGCTGAGTAAAAAACACAAAAGTTACTTATTTTTCTTTCCACAAAAAGATACGTATGAGTTCCAAACTCAGGAAACAGGGAAAAAAAAAAAATCAAGATGGACAAATTTCTTGATAAAATTAAGAACAGTCAAAGAATAAGAAAATAACGGACATGGGTAACAAGGAAAACAGAAAGCACCCTTGTCAAGGAAATACTTCTTCCCTTGTCATTACACTTACACAAGGAAAAAAACTCTCCACCCTTTACTAGCCTTTTATAATTGTCAGATATAATATGGCATCTGAAGGGAATGGTTCTAACATGATATCACAAAAACCAACATTCTTATACAACCTTTCAATCAAAGCACCAAAAAGATCGTCGCTTGACGTGTAACAACAGACATGGTCACGCATACATTTTTAAGGTGGGGGGGAAAAAACCCTCTTAAAGCCTTTTATGGTAAGCAAAGAATATTTTTTAAAGAATCAAACAAACAACAAAAACACCTCACCCCAGCCAAAAAAAAAAAGGTAACTTAAGAAAACAGTTTAAAATGCTATACAACAAATGTTCCTTTTCTGGTATCACTGCAAACTAAAGATCACACACTGTGGGCGAGGTGCAAACAATTTCTATTGTTCTTGCTGGACAAATAACTTCAAACAATCACAAAGCAATCCTGAATCATAGCCAGTTTACATTAAAGGAAAGAAACAAAGCTTCTATACCATGACGGTTCAAAGGGGCCTGGAGCAATACAGGCTGTGAGAGTGATATGGCTGTCTTCACCTGGGGTACCAACATGTTTAGTTCATTCACACATATATACATACACATATGTAACATATACACATACAGATGTTCTTTGAAAACAAGACTCTCTTCTCAGGAACACCAATGACTTGATACCTTAGTGCAATTGAACCCTACACCTACCTACCACCAAAGCAAGACCACATGCAAGCCTACACCATTCTATAAACGCAGAGATAGTAATAAGCGGCCACCAGATGTGATAATCTGAATATGCTTGTGTCATGTCAACATTTTTCTTAAGATTTCTATTGCTGAAAACAGAAAAGTGGGATCTCAGTAGTTGATCTTTGTCATGTAGAATTGTGGGTGCCAGTCCACTTGACTGACGGTCTACCAAATTAACCGCAGTCTATCTGTGCTGTGTCAGTTGGTTAGGGTTTGAGTTTGGGTTAGGGTTACAGTCAGGGTTGTTAATAGTAGCAGACTTGTAGGCCATCAAAAGGAACAATTATTGTTTAGTTTTAGTATATAGTAGAGGTTTTACGACGCTCACAACTGCATAACGTAATATAAGTGCCAAAGGGTGGATGTCAACAGAGAAGTCTTTCCAGGGAATCAGGCTTACTCTGCTCACCTGTCTAGCTTTAACAGAACAAAGTCTGTTTGATTAGGGTTTGAGTGTGGGTTAGGGATAGGGTTAAGGTTACGGTCAGGGATGTTGATTGCGGCAAACTAGTAGGCCATCCAGTGGAACAATTATTGTCAGACTGGTCCGACGGTTGACCGCCAAGTAGAACAGAAACATTGTGGTAGACCATCAGGTGGATCAAATTGTGTGTACAAACAAGATATTTTGACATAACGCCAACCTTTGCAACAGAAAGTAGGACCTATAGAGATCCAGATAAAAGGAGGGGGGCTGCAGACTTACAGACTACCAATAACAAACCATCAAAAGTAAAAGTGCACAAATTTTGTATGGAAAACACACCAAAATCAGCCCTGTACATTCCTTTTAAGTTATGTATTCAAGATCACAAAGAAAGCCTGAATTTAGAAACAGATGTATGTGCAGTAGAGAAGTAAAATTAAAACGAGTGGCTCAACACCAAACTCGCTTGACCATACAAATCCCAGAGACTTCCCCATTCAATGACAAATGATTATGCCAATTTTAGAATGTACTGGTTATTCATTACTGACGAAAACACAACTCTCATCAGTCTTTCTCGCCTGCTCACATAAATAGATCTAAAATGCCTTTTGACCGAGTTTTTTACAACTCAAAGCTACACTACTGATAGAACAATTGTTTTCATGGGAGTACGACGAATATGTGTGATTTAAGTACGTTCAATATAACATAAACACACCCTGTTGCAGTCATTTTATACATCACTTAGAGCAAAAAATATCAATCAGGCGACTAAAATGCTGGCCGCAATATCTTGTTCCAACTAAGTTTGGTGTCTTATCGACTCGCATCCCTCCTATGACATGGGTACAGAATAAGACTTCTGTCATGATCAGCAAGGAATATCAGAAAGGATTTTCTTTTCATAGGCCATTGTGCCTTCTCCAAAAGGCAAAACTGCTATATGAAGAGCCAACAGAGCCACTGTTGTGACTTGCACTTCCATCATCCCCTGACGATTCTGCTGCATATCTTCTCAGGAATCTCTGCGAGAATGGGCAACTGCCGAACAAATGTTAAAAATATCAAACAAGTAGCACTTTAACATTCAACCTCTTGATCAGATCTGTTTTGGACATTTTCCATTAAAAAAATAAACCCAGATAACATTTTTGTTCTGGACAGAATTGAAGTCATCGCAAAAACTTTTAAAAATAGAAATTTCTCAATGGGACACAAAAATTGATATACGGACCACAGTTCAGCAAAATACACTTTGAAAAAGTTCTTTAAAAAATAATCAGTACACATAGATTAAGTACATTTCAGTTAGTATCTTTTGGATTTCATAACTCAAAATGACAACTTAGAGGACAGCTAGTGGTATTTTAAACATCTCAAAATATACAGTCATGATAACTCTGTTGAAGATCATGAAGCCACACACACAAAAAAAGAGAGGTGAACATGTAAACATATCTAAGCTCTCTAACTCGGAGCACAAGGACAAAATGTCATTGTCATGTCATTATTATTTTTAAAATCCACAGAACCATAGCTATGAGAAAAGTGTTTTAAAAACTACAGTTTTCTCTGAAAGAATCTGCATCTGTTCTTCTTTCTGAATAAATGAAGCGAAGACATGTATGAAAAAATAAACATGTCAAAACAGGAAGGACTGATTTACATTTTTAAAGAGGCATCTCTTCCCTTTTCCCTCAGATTTAGAGAAATATATGAAATACCATTGATAAAAATAAGCGAGTTAGGAAAAGGGATGAGATATCATCTATGTGTCCAAGTGTATTAAAGAGTGAATAAAGTAACTATCATTTTTCCTGGGATTTTCTCTGTTCTTTTCTTTCCCCTTCAGCATTATAAATAACTTGGCATCAAATTAACATTAATTTACATACACTACATCAATTTCAACGCTGAGATGCAGATTGTTCTTGTGATTACTATCAGCACTCTTGAAAATGATTTGTTTTTGTTTCTTCAGTTACGTTGATTGTGTCTGTCCCTAATTTTGACATGGTGTATTAAAAAAAAAATTTTGTTCTCTGCCCAATAGATCGATCTCAATGCATTTCAGTTTAATACATTGGTAAAATTTCAAATCCTTAAAAAATACACTCTTAAAAAAAAAAATCCCTTCCACTTCCTCTCAATCCAATCGCATTTGATAAAATGGGCAATTAGAGAACCTAGACAGTCATATATGACATTCTTGACAAAGATTTTTAAAGTATGAAGGCACATACAATGTTATTGTTAAATGTTGAACCACAAATCAAGAGATTACATGGGAAAAGCACTTTCAACACATACAAAAGTCAATCCTAAAAAAGAAGGACATGGGTAAAGTTAAGTTACACCCAAACATCATTTCGCTTTGGACAAGAAATTCCGTAACCATATTGCGTATGCCAGCCAAGGAAAACCAAGGTGGTGAAAATCAGTTTTGGGTCAACTGCAAAAAAAAAAAAAAGGGAAAAAACAAAGCAAATTGATTTTCACATTTTCTTTATAAACAATAGTTTTCTTTAAATTTTGTCCTCAAAATTTAGACAATTTTCTACCCTATCCTTTCCCCAAAATACACAAAATTGTGCAAGATCAACGTGTCTATTTTCCAGATAACTGTAGTACTAGAACTGAAACCGTTAGTCTCGGGGTGTATTGAAACACTGTTAAAAAAAATAAAAAAATATAGCCTAGATGACTATTGAAAAGGGCTAGAAGCTGATGCCACTTTTCTCAGCTTTGTCATTCCTGGGGTTCTAGTCTTTAGAAATTCACATAAAATAAACGCTAAAAGTTATTTTGTGAATGTAAAAACTCCCAATAATCTGCTAGAGCTACGGATTGACTGACAAAATGCCCATATTTCAGAAAGTAATTGAGCGACAAGTCCTTGCTTTTCCTGAGCTGCCATATATATTTGGGCTAACGGTAATGCTTACTTTTTCCACTACAGCCAGTCGCACAACAAATACTAGGAATATCAGCACAGTTTATGAATTGATGATGAATTGAGCATCCAGTTCACAAGTTTCATTTTTGAACTGATACAACTTTAGACAAACACTTCTACTTGTCCTTTTTTATGCTTGATATAACTTAAAATCAGATTTAAAAAATAAACGGAAAATCAAAGGATTTTGCAGAATTACCTATGTGCAAGTCTCTGGATATTCAGATCTAATATAACAGCATCCCGGGTATTATCCAACGTAACAATACCCCGCTATACATCTTGGACACTTAAGCTATATATACTGTTCCAGTCTTTGCTTGTGTGCTTCACATCCAGTACAACACGAATAGCTCGAACTCGTCCGGACCGGCCTCGGTAGTTCGAGGGATCCGTAGTTCAAGAGATATCTTACAAAGATAAAGAAGAAGAAAAAGAAAAAGAAAAAAAAAAGGGACCGCAGGCAGAGTTCGGCGGATGCGTGATTATTTCGAGTCTTCTGTGTTCGACCTATCCATGTCATACTGTACTAAGCTTTTATTTTTACCTAGTAAAATGAATCAGCAAAGCAAAAGGCTTTTGGTAAAACTGCAAAAGCTTTTGTGACAGCACCTCATTCACAGACTTAAGCACACACACAGTAAGACATTTTCAGGGTAATGGCTTGCGGCAATAAAGCACCAGTTCGCAATTTGAGCATCGATTCTTGTTATGAACTGTTTAGTGCAAGACTCCGCCATACATTATTTCAAATAGTGACGTATGACAGCGTCTTACACGTGGCAGTCGTTATGATGATGGAGATATGTGTCACAACACGGTGGAATCAGGCGCTCGTCAATTTTGGGGTATATGAAGTTATTGGCAATTGAAGGAGGTGGGGGCCGCCTGGTTTCAGATGTAAAATTAGCGAGAAAATGGCCGCTAAAGTTGAGTTATTTCCTTAGCTTGAGAGTTAGTGGAAACTGAAAATTTACATCTTTTATGCCTTTAATCAACGTTTTTCAGTAAAATCAGCTCTGAAATGAGTTCTTAAAGAGCAGGAAAGGCGTAGAGCCAAAAAAAATAAATGTAAAAAAATTCAATAAAAATTCCCAAATCTGCAGAAAAATGCCAGTTTCTTGACTTTCATTATTTTGACGATGGCCTGATTTCACCACGCTGCCTCAAATATTATTTTAAAAGTTCTCGTTTGCATCATAAAGCATTTAGTGAGGTACGCACATTATCATGAACTGAGAATACTGAAATGTGAGGTTTGTTTCTAAACCTGTCAAAGAATAAACATATAACTTTAAATGATGTGCCATTCTATGAGGACATTCAGTGTGAGAAAATAAAGTCTTGCCTATATACACCGGCTCATTAACCAAATATGCATACACAAACACACAAATAAACGCATTTTTTTTCTCCTGAATATAAACACAGGAAATAAAGTTAAAAAAGATAAAGGTAAAGGCTAAAAACTTTTGTAACGACGAGGAATAGTTTCTGAGAGAAATTTCTATACAAATTGCGTGTTGATGAAACAGAGTTAAGTGAGAACAGCCGAGTCCCTGGAAATCTGGAAATGCTTAACCCCATTGGGTGAAGCCGAAGACTTTTATGAGACTGGAGTCAAACAGCAAACAAAAATAATCTAAGAACGCACCGGAAACGATACTTGTTCTTTGACTTGAAGTCGCTGATTGAAATGCCCAATACACATATATATCAAAGTCTACATATATATATGTGTGTGTTTGTGAGAGTAAGAAATAGAAAAGCGAAAAAGCTTAGAGTTTTATTGAGAAACATATAATTCAAAAAGAAAGAGAGGGAGAGAGAGGAAGGGGGAGAGAGAGAGAGAGAGAGAGAGAGAGAGAGAGAGAGAGAGAGAGAGAGAGAGAGACAGACAGACAGACAGACAGACAGACAGACAGACGGACAGACAGACGGACAGACAGACGGACAGACAGACAGACAAAGAGAGAGGAGGACAGGTTAGGGGAAGGGGAGGAGGGGGGGGGGGGATGTAACACAATTTTGCTGTCTCCACCACCACTCCAGAGCTCATTCATTAACTATTGTCAAACCTAACATACTAGTAAAATCAACTGGCCCACTGGTATCCATTGGGAAGTTGAGTGGAAGACCCCCCCCTCCCCCCAAATACATACAAGTGTCAGTGCTGAATTCAAGAGCCAACAATTTCACAGTGTGCGGGTTCTCCCACCACCACTCCATAGCTCATTCATTAACTATGCCAAGCCTAACATACTAGTAAAACCAATTGGCCGACTGGTGTCAATTGGGAAGTTGAGTGGAAGACACACCCCCCCCCCTCCCCCCAAGTGTCAGTGCTGAATTCAAGAGCAACAATTTCAGTGTGTGTGGGTTTGTGCTCTATCACACTATCACAATCATTTCATGACAGGTGCACTGTTGATGCTAACGAAAAAAATAAATAAATGGATGTCTATAGACTTAATTGAAAGAAAAGCATTACTAGATAAAATATCAGTGGACGTTAAGTTTACGGTACCGTACCCCAATGCTATTGATTTATGGATTATTACAAAAGCTATCTAGCTATAATAACTAAAATATAATTATACAAAGAACTATTGAGTTTTCCCCTCTAATTACATCTCCTCAAAACACTCTTAGTCAAGTGGCTTTTCATTTACTTCCTGGACAGTGACAAACTTAGAGTGTGTTATCACACTTCCTGGTACATAATAGATAGTGGTTTTACTCATTCTGTTATTTGGTTTTTAGAAAATTGTTACTTTGTTCAATAATATTATCAACAGTCCAATGTCTCTTTGTTGCAACACAATTCCTCAAAAGTTTCAAAAGGCTTGAAAAGAGTCAGCAGGCTCTCAATTCATTTATAATGAAATATAATAAATAAAACTTTTTTACACAACAGCGATAGCCTTACAAGGAAAATAAAAAGATGAAGACACTGGAGGGACTTTTTCCATAATACAAAAAGACTCCACCGCAGGAATAGTAAAAAGGATGGAGGGATTTTTTGCACAAAATAAAACCACGATGAACAAGCAGGAAAAAAACATATTTGACATAGAAGAGGAACCATCTTGTTCCTAACATTTTGCACACAAAAAAACCATGGAGCAATTCATACACACCGAGAAGAGTAATACATATAACGTGTTTAAAACACCAAAACTATTGAGCTGTCAAGCCAATGGAAAAGGTCTCTGAGAAAGCTGGTAGCCAACACGAAGCTAACACAGCCGGTAGGAAGGGAGTGCGGGACGGGGGGGGTGGGGGAGGCAGCGACACTTCCACAGCAGCTACAAGGTTACTGACATGGTTCTGTTGGTGCTCAGCAGTGAGGAGTGCTCAGAGAGTGCCCGGCGAAAACTGTCCCGTCTCCAGCCGTAGAGCAGACTGTTCATGACGCCGTGGAGGGGGCCTAAGATAGCCTGGAGGAAAATAAAAAACAAAAACAAAAAAACTTTAAAAATACTATCAGACTATAGATATATAAATAGATCAGAAGTTACGAGTTTGTTTACGTAATAAGAGTTTAACAGCACCTGCACAGCCCTTCCCTTCTCCAGCCATAGAGCAACCTGTTCATAACTTCCTGGAGTGGACCTAAGATAGCCTGCAGTACAAAAAAAAAACAACCAAAAAAAAACCCCTCAAAAAAACTTCTCACCAACATTCTACGATAGATAAATCAGAAGTTACGGATTTGTTTGTTTTAGTAATAAGAGTTTTACGGCACTAGTACAGCCCTTCCCTTCTCCAGCCGTAGAGCAGACTGTTCATAACGCCGTGGAGCGGACCTAAGATAGCCTGTAGTTGTTGTCTTTTTCATTATTAAAAGATTTTTAAAAACTCAAGACCTTTTCACCAAATCTTTCCTATAGATATAAGAAATTATGAGTTTGTATGTTTTAGTAAAAAGAGTTTTACCGCACTAGCAACATAATTAGGTCATACAAGTGCTGAAGATTAGAAGTGTTACAAGAGAGTAACATACAAAGAAAAGAATGAGGAGAGACAAGGACGATAGAAGTTCTATAGGAAAGAAGTTAAGCAGGCGTATTCAAATGATAAGACAAAACAAAACAAAAACCAACCAAAAGTCACTGACCTGGATCAAAAGCAACCAGTAGAAGTCGTCCATTTCATAACCCGGGGTAAAGGACAAAATTCCAATGATGACAGCTGAAAGAAATCGATGAACAGAACGAAAATGTACTTTACAGGTAAATCATAGAGGGCTCCAGATCCATTTTCACAATATAAATACTATAATAATTGTGCAGAAAGTCATCAAAGCAGAACTTCATGCTATCTTATACATTATCAGCGCTTCTTCAGCATATCTTTTAAAATACAGTCGAACCATTCCAGGACAACCACCAATTATTGAGGACAAAAGTGGCCATTTTAGACAGCTGGTTCTCTTGGACGATTCTATAACAGTTATAGAAAAAATGTAAGAGAGAAGTGGGAAGTGGTTGTTCGTACAGGTGATTGATACAGCAGGTTTGACAGTATTTTTTAGAATTCATCAGCTACAACAGAACCACATAATACAAAGAATGTTTCTAAAAACTATTGCTGACACCAATCAAACTTTACACACCCTAAAAGCTACATAATTTTTCAGATTTTGAGTTTGTGGAAGAAATTTGTGGCACTATTGACAAAGTCGGGTCATAACCTGAAATGATGTAAGGATGGTGGCAACATTATACAAAAGCCCAAGCCCCCCCCCCCCCCGAAAAAAAAGTTTGAGAAGCGTTTTAACAGCACGCTTGGCATACATTTAAATGTCGAAGATTAGAGGTATTACCACAAAGTAACCTACAAAGAAAAGAAGAAGAGATAAGGATGACAGGTGTTTGATAAGAAAGAAGGAGCAAATCACACTAAAGCACCCATTAAAAACTTTTTTTTAAAAGACCAACAAAAACCCCAGAGACTGTTTAATTACAATAATGACTAAATTAGAAACTAAAAAGACAGAAACGAAAGGGAAAGGAAGTAAAAAAACTTACAAGGAATCCAACATAAGATAAAAATGCCCTGATAGAGCATTGCTTTCTTTTTAAGGATACTCTCTTCTTGACGCTGATGGTAGCTCAATAGACCTGGAAGGAAGCAAACATGCATACATCAATTCTACAAGAAACTATTATTTGATCAAAACCAAAAAAAAAGGCAATTATTCACAGGTTAACTCTATAACCCCGAGTGGACGATGGGAGCATTCAGTGAAACTCGCCCGGTCCCCGAGGGGACAGTCCCAGCTTCCGGTAAGTGTCAGATCGCAAAGTGCATGCAGCATTACTGCTAATACAATCTCTTTTGAACCTGAATAGATTTATTTCGACTATGAAGTGTTAGATAAATGTATAAATTACTTCCTCTTTCACTTTAACACAGATTTAACCATATTATAAATATTATATACGTATCCTCTGCTATGTGTTTCACAAGATCTGGAAAATATTCTGTCAAAACAAGGAAAATAATTTTTGGGTTAAAGATTAAAAGCTATCAAGTGGAAGACCATCTTGCCTTGATCTATAGACAATGTGCATTGTTTGAAATTAGTCTCTGGACATCCTGCATATTAAATAATTCAAAAACGGCTGATTACAGTTTTAATTTTCTCAAAAACAACAGATATGAATCATGCCCGCAACTACTTATTGACAGAATAACTCGATCAGAAGGGAAAATATGCCTTAAAAAATGGTGACTTTAGGAGGAAATATGTTACCTTTAGAAAAAAGCGACCCCATTTAGAAGAACCCACTTTTTTCATAAAAGATATATTTATAGAACCGAAACAACAGTACAATTTTGCACTTACATAGTGTTTCCCCCAAATTTTGTAGAAAATACATGGCATTTTTACCAGTGTCTGTGTTGTAGTGGTCAGGCACTTCACTATAACATGTAGGAGACTCGAGTTTGATTCCCAATTCGGGAGCATTTTAAGCAAGTATCTCAGTCCTTCAGCTGGGACGTGGTATCCCTCTCAGCCTGTGTCCTAAATAATCTAAACTGTGTCAATGGGGGGGGCGATAAAAATACTACACCCACATGAACATGGCATTTTTTCTTCATCAGCACAAGATTTAGTGTACCAGTTCTCTTAACAGAACTTGGAAATGTAACTTCGGGTTTGAGTACACATTATCTTATTCCAAAACAACAATGAGAAAAATCATAGCATCATAAGAGTAAGACTGCACATCCACTGAAAAGTGGTGCTCACATCGCATTTGAGGGAACTCCACATTTTTGGGGTGGATCCAAAATAATCATAATTCAGAAAAGGAACATATACTTAATACTTCTTCACTCACCTCTTCTCATGGCAACTTGCTTGAAAACTTTACCAATCAGAACATATAGCCCCTTGAAAATGAGAAAATTGACCATATTTAGGCATAGGTAAGAGAAATAGTATTTTCTATTTACTGTGGCATCCGTGTAAAATGAATTCAAATTAAATTAAATGAATTCTCACTAAAATTGACAATACCTTGATCCTAATTCCTGTCCTTATTTATGCTTAGTAACTGAAGTCTAGATAACATGATTACATTGACCAGGGGCTTCACTTCTAATGACTACCAAAGTGAACGCGTGGGTATAGAACAGTGCAAACAAAATCCACAAAAGAAAACATCTTGTGCACAGGCAAAAATGTGATGCACATCTGAAAGGAATAGCCTTCACCATATCTTTAAACTCTATACACCTTTGTTTGTCTAGAAGAATGGTTCTTAATCTGGGTTTGATAGATCCCCAGGGTTTGAGCAAGTTGGTCCCAGGGGTTTGACGAATGTCAACACACACACACACTGTGTGTATATGTGAGTGCGTGTATGTGTGTGTTTGTGTGCGTGCAGCGTGCTTATTTATTCTGTTCACCCTAGTCGAAGGGAATGGCGAATGCACATTTAAAATGTGCAGAGTTCAGTGCCCCAACCAAGGTTAAGAACCAATGGTTTAGATGACGATAATGCTGCTGAGACCTGGATTACTGCAGCACTTTGTAAAGTCATGGGGAGTCCATTTACATGATAACTTCTGGGACAAGATGCAAATGAATGAATGCTTGGTACTACCAATGATAGTAAATAACAAGATGGGCCACTCAGCCAAAAAAATGTCCGCAGGAAGTATGCTCTTTGCTTCAGATGGCGCTGCAGTCTGTTTTGAAGCTCTCTTTCGTTTTTCCAGAAGAAGAATAGGAATAGCACCTCCTTGCGTGTGCAGATCGACTGCTGTTCATCAGCAGTTCGGGTTCGTTCAGTACGGAGTTTTAGTGTTTTTTTTATTTTAATGACCTCTTGCCTTTCATTCTAAAGTCAAATTAAACAAAGAAAACAATCACCCTTTCCTCCGGAAGAGGTTTTTTTGTCAGCGTAACCATTTTAAAAAAGCGTTCTTCCGAAATTCATTCAAAAACTTGCTAGTTTCACTTTGATTTTTTAAAACTCAAGTAGGATAGCTCTGTTCGCTAAAGGTGCGCTTTTGCGAAGAGGGCGCCACCGAATTTTGAGGACACTTTTTTAATTGGCTCAAAGAGAGAAGTGACCCATCTTGTCTTGTACTATCTTTGGTAGTACAAACAAGATTGAGAGGATATGAAACAAAAAAACAAAAACAAAACTCAGCAAAAAAGCCCCAAACCCCCAAAACCAGCAAGGAAACATACCATGTTGCACACCATGGCCAGGATCAGAGGGATGAGAAATATGAGTCGAACCATCCGATGCCATTTTTCACCATTAATGACTTGCTCCTGAGAAATATGAAAACATTTATTTAAATAACACTTCTAAAGTATTTGTCATACAAACAAACAGAAATTGAGGCCTTTTTTATAACTCATTCAGTATACCAGAGCAATAAATGAAAAGCAACAACAACAACAACAACAAAAAATGCACATCCTATTACGTATAAAGCAATTACATCATTTGTGAAAGATGACTGAAAGTAGAAACACATACTGTACACATAGATCTAGTAATAAAAAAAAATGGAGTGCTTACATGTACATTTCAATGAGTAAAACAATGTAAGAAAATACACCAGCATACTTAATAATCTATCACAGCAAAAACTGTGAGTTAAAAAAGAGGAACTACAAACAATCCGGATTCAAACCCTAGTGATACAGTCAGCTTCATGTTTCAAGAAAGAGACCTTCCAGAGATCACTTTGAGGAGAGATTGTTCCAACTTCATTACCTTACCAAGCAATCCCCTATAAGTACTCTACAACATAAAAAAATATTTTGGGAAATTCAGACACAACAAAATAAAATAATCCCACAAAAAAATAAAATAATCCAAAGCAATGGAAGGATAAATGCATGTCAGGAAGAGTTTTTTAAAATTCACTGCTTACCCAGCATTCATTTTCATTGAAGCGAAAATTGGCAAAGCATCTGCGGAAAAAGAAAAAAAAATATAATGCATGAAATAAAGTTTAGTTTTAGTAAGAGTTTGGCGGCACTTGCAACACAATTAGGTCATATAAATCCCCCAAATTAGAGGTATTACTAAAGAGTCCCAAGCAAAACAAAACATTCTTTTTAAAGAGGAGAGAGAATGAACGATATATATGCACCAGAGCTTCAACTAATCATCCATGCACGAAATAAAGATTGAGTATATATACAAATCTGTACATATATAACAAAGTAAGCACTTCATGTCCAAATGTCAGGGTCCTTGATTTCATGCACATTACAGTATTTTCAAATATTACCATCCAAAGCCCACACAGTCTCTCTTTACCTAAAGCTTTCACAATAGGAGACATCCAGATCATTTACCGCTGCTATACAAAAATATACATACATATGATAATAAATAGCATTTGTTTAGCATAATTCCCCCTCAACAGCAAACTCTAAGCAATTTACAATCTATATTATTACCCCACAAGACCTGATAGGATTCTGAAACAATCTGGATTTCCTGGGAAGCATACAGAGTAAGCTGCCATTTTACGGACGCTACAGCACCAACAGACAAGATCTTTTGCTGTCTATGGCTGGGTATCCATTCACACATGGGAGAAACAAGAATACTCATGGAAGGTGTCGCCTTTCCTATGGACACAATGTCAGGGCTGAGCTAAGTCTCAAACCCACACACCCGCAATCTCACGATCACGAGTCTGAGAGTCTAACCACTAAACCCCATACTGCCGTAAGATGACAAAATACCTATTTTCATTTTTGGAGCCAAATTTTTCTAAATTGCTAAATTGAAAGCCTGATCAGTTACCCTACACGTGTGAAAAAATCAAAGTGAAACTGTAACTAGTTTTTAAAATAAATTAGAATTCAAATTTGGGAAAAAAGTCTGTTTTAAATGGTTAAACTGACAAAAACCCTCTTTACTGCAAAAAAAAGAGGCGTTTTGTCAGCTTACGGCAGCATATACCATACACCCAAATGTAAAGGGAACATACGAGGAACACTGCCTCGGGATAACCCCAATAAGGCTGGTGTAGTTGGAGAATTCCATGTAGTCTTCCAGAGAGTGAGTGACCACCATCAGCACTATGGCCAGACTCAGAGGGATCAACCTGTGGGACAGAACAGGATACTTTAGTGAAATCAGGCGCTTGTCAAAATCATGAAATTGAAGAAACTAGCATTTGTGCGCTGGCTAGGCAATTTTTATTGAATTTTTGTTTTTTGGCGTAATACCGTTAATGTCTATTTAAAAACACATTCCAGTGTGGATTTTACTGAAAAACGTTGATTAAAGGCACAAAAAAAATGTAAATTTGCAGTTTCCAAGGACTCTTGAGCTATGAAAGTCACTAAACTTTGGCGGCCATTTTCTCCCAAATTTCTCTTCTGAAACAAGGTGACCCCATCTCCTTCAATTGCAAATATTTCTACGTCTATTCAAGATAAATTGATATTTTTTTCATCGAAAGCAAGGCAAATGAACAACCTTTAAGATGATACATAAAACTCAATATGCCAAAAACTTGACTAGAGCCTGATTTCACTGCGTCATGACACATATCATATAAAGTCGAACCTTCTGTAATGACTTTTTTCCTTTAGTTTTAGTAAGTGTTTTACGGCACTTGCAACACAATAAGGTCATATCAGTGCTGAAGATTAGAGGTGTTACAAGAGAGTTACAAACACAAAAAAGGAGGGGAGATAAAGACAAGACTCACCAAGACAGTACATATGCCACATACATCCAATTGGTGCTCACTACTCTCATCTGTAATAAAGAAAAAGCAAAACAAATTGTGCCATTAAAAATTTTTTAATTTTATTTTTGAAAGAATGCCACCGTTTTGAATAAAACATCCATTTCCGATTATGAAAAAAACACAGTAGAGTGGGTGCAGAGCCTTGAAATCCCCAAACCAAAGGAATGTAAGAATGTCCATAGAGGAATCAGAACATGCACCTTTTTTGTAATTGTTTCACACCCCCATCAACACAATTTACCATTTATATAATTTAGGAGGTGCCTAATAAGTGCCTAATCACTACACAGGAGATGCTGGTCAGTGCACTATAGTCAGGTATTCTATCAAGTGGACTAGCAAAGAAAAGAATAGGGGGACTATTTTGCGTGATATGGTGAACATGAACATAAATGACATTTCCAGTTTTGACAAATGATTGACAGAGGTAGAGAATGACACAAGTGAAACAAAGCTTAAGTATTCTATCAAATTTTTAAAAATAATTAAAGAACCCACATAAATTAATCTTTATACGCATAGTTCAAAAAGGTAGATAAAACATATAAATTCAGAAGAAAAAAAAAACACATTTAAAATTAAGTTGAATATAAGGAAAGGGAAAAGTAATTTCTTCATGCAATAAAAACAAATTATGATAAAGTAATGTCTAAATTTTATGTTTAACACCTCTAGCTAAAAATGGTGGCAAAGTGTTGAATGGTCAACGAACATAATTCAAGAAATGTTTTTGAGAACCCCCCCCCCCCAAGGCAACTCTTTTGAAGTGGGTTCACCGATGTCTGTGGCGTAGTGGGTAGGCACTTCTCCGCTGCATGCAGGAGACTTAAGTCTGATTCCCGAATTGGGAGAACTTTTGTTGGGTAGCTCAGACTTTCTGCTGGGAGGTTGTATCCCTCTGAGCTAGATTAGGTCCTAACAGGCATGGATGGTCTGAGCTCCCTTCCTTAATGAACTTAATTGTAACGTCAGGCGGGGTGTACAAAACAAAACACACACTGGTAAAAAAAAAAAAAAAATTCGGACTTACTGATAATGCACTCACAGCTGACCCCTCTGACAGTCTTCGTCTGAACCTGAACAGTGCTTCCAAGGCATACGTGATGGTAAGAAGGAATGCACTTGTGTAGAAGCTCTGAAAAATACAATCCCCCAGAAAATTTGCAAACAAAGCAAAAACATTATCGTCTTGTCATGTCTATACAAAACAACACAGAACTACAGCTGATTTAAATTTTCAAGGTTAAATCAAACTTTCCAAACAGTGTGTTGCTGGTTTTTTTCTTCTTTTCTTTCAGATTTTTCTGACCCTTGATCTCAGGGTAGGAAGAATAAGAACCTTTCTCTCTTCTCAGATAAAGAAGAAAAATTTGGAGATGCAGTCAGTGTCCACACTGTGTGCAGCAAACACACTTTGCGAGCAGAAATTCTCAAAAGGACAGACTTGTAAAGCAATATTCTACAACAAAACCACAGCCTGACTCCCAAAAGGTCTGGGGAACTATATTCTAGACACAAAATAGGTGGGACACCAAAAAAATTAGTTGAGAGCTTGCAGAGGATCAGAGAAAAAAAATAATGCACATTAATACTCTAGTTCTTATTGGTCCAAAAGATTTACACATCACTGAATGTTCAAGAAATGCTTTTACGAATAATGCAAACCTGCCAATGAGGAAACACATCAAAAGGGAGAACCCAGTCAAGGCAGTATCTCCTTACCAAAACAAAACACCATCAGACAACAAAACAAACCACATTTCAAGGCCTAGACATTGGTGTCTGTGATGTATCGGTTTGTGCTTTGCCTTGGCACTCGGAGAGGAACACCTGACGTCGATTCCTGTGTGGCGAGATATTTTAATCAAGTATCTCGGTCTTCTTACTGGGATGTGGTATCATCCCTCTACGCCCAGGTTGTCCCCAACAGATAGGGACGAAGCTCCTTGCATAAATGATCTACATTGTGTCGAGGGGAGGTGTAAAAACATCAACATTAAAAAGGTCTTGATGTGGTCTTCTTGAGACAGACACTTACTGTGACTAGCGTCATGATGTAATCGCAAGAGCCTTCACTGCCAGGGAATGACGGACTTCCAGATAGGAATATACAGGAGCTTAAGATCAGAAACACAGAAGACAGCAAATCTGCCACTGCCAAGTGAAACGTGGGAAATATCTGGTAGGGAAGAGAAAAAAAACAAACAAAGATACAGACATATAACTCATTTTGAACTTTAAAACCTTATTTGAGTTTTTTTTAAGGCACATCCCCACGAAAACAGTCTTTCAATTCAGAAAGAAAAGGCAAAACAGATAGATGGAAAAAAATGGAGATGGCATGGAGGTAGAAAATAATTAACCAATAAGAGTTCTCAAACCTCTTTTGAATTTTAAGCAAAAAATTATTTTTTTAAAAATCAATCATTATGACATATGACGAAGAAACCGATCTGGATGATAATAATTTTTCATGTAACACATCAGTTTATGTATTGAACAAATACGCAGGCCTACTTATCTGGCCCGTGCTCAACATTCTCTCAGTTATCCAGCCTTCTTTGGAAAAAACTTTGGCAGCCGTTGGTCTATAGTAATAGTGAATAAAAAGTATGGAAATTTAAAGGAATTTAATTAAATGTATATTTATCCCCGAGAAAACATTCAGTAAAAAAATTAACACCAGCCTTCTATTAAAATCTCAAAACAATTAAATTTTTCTTCTTGAGTCAGCCTTTTATCTTAAAAAAAAGTTAATACATACCTCAGCGACGCACACTCTGCCATAGTATACTGAGCACACAAGAACAGATCCAGATCCAATTAAGCTAGAGTTGAAAAAAAAAAAAAAAGGTAATAGGTAATATTAAGCATATTTTTCTCCATTATCTTTTATGCTGTAAAAAAAACTTTCAAATTAAAGAAAGTTAGATGCCGCTCTACTATGATACTTTGGTCTACCATAAAGTCCTGCTCGATATATGATCTACCAAAGTTTAGTGTGTAGTGAAAGTCATGCCTCATTGGTTACGATATCGAAAGCACTGGGGGCATTTAGATTAAAGATGGCGGCATTTAAATTGCGGTTTGGAGGTGGGTGGTGTTCGCCTCTCACTCAATAGGTCCTGTGTTCGAAACTTGACAGTAATGGAAAATTTTCTTCTCTATGAATAAATTTTTTACAAACAATTTCCCCTTTCAGCTCAATTCATGCTCTCTAAACCATGTTCGTTCGC